CTTGCATGGGCACTCATGCAGTCATGGTGACAGTGACAGGAGAAGGAAGCAAAGTTCAGAGAGACTTAGGAAACAGAATCCACCCCCAAAGGTGAGGCTGGGCTACAAATATCTGCTTACACTGGTTCTCTGAACCCCTGGAGCCAAACAGGTTCTGGGACCTAGATGGAAAGAGGCCACAGAGCCTGGCACATAGTAGGTGCTTAATGAATTCATGCTCATTGATTGACAAAGCATTGATTAATGCTTTAAGCATGAAAGATAGGAAAGTTTAGAAGTTAGAGAAAGATGTAATCAAAAAAGGAAGTGGACAGGTCACAGAGGGTGAACCTCAGGGCTACACTGGTGCTTTTTTTTTTTTTTGCTTTATTTTATTTTATTTGGAGGCAATGGGGTTAAGTGACTTGCCCAGGGTCACACAGCAAGTAAGCACCTATGAGACTGGAGTTGAACTTAGCTCTTCCTGAATCCACTTCTATCCACTTCCTGCTCCCCAATGGAATTTTTAAAAACATTAATAGCTGCCATTTTTATATCACTTCGATTTTTAAATCTCTCTCTTTCCTTTCCCCTACCCAATGAGTAATCCCTCAGAATAAAGAATAAAAAAAGAAAAGTGAACAGTTCGACAAAACTAAGCAGCACACCATCCAGGTCTGGTAGCATAGGCAGCCTAAGCCCCCATCATCTTTCCAGCCTGTATCCTCTCCACTCCCCCAGCCCCCACCCTAGGTCCCACTGCCTCCTGCCTCGACTATTGCAGCAAGCCTCCCAGTTGGTGTCCCTGATATGCTCTCCCTACTCCGACCCATCCTCCACAGTTCCAAAAATAATTGTTCCTAAGCTGATGCTCTGACTTCGTCACACACACCCGCACCCCTCAGTAAAGTCCAGTAGCTCTCTATTACCTCTAGGATTAAATATAAACTCCTCTGTCGTTTACCCAACACATGGACCTCTTCCTCCTCTTCCAGTCTTCTTACATTACTCCCCTCCTTGGATTCTCTGTTCCAGCCATACCGGCCCAGGTTCTGTTAGACATATCTCTGTATCTCAGCGTTGACTGTTCCCCATACCTGAAATGCCCTCCTTCCTCATCTCCACCTCTTGGGAATCCTTAGTTCCCTTAAGGACAGACAGGTGGCGTAGTGGCTAGAGTCAGGAGTCCAGGTTTATAAGTCCAAATTCAGTTTCAGACACTTACTAGCTGTGTGACCCTGGGCAAGTCACTTAACCCTCTTTGCCTCAGTTTCCTCACCTGTAAAATGAGCTGAAGAAGGAAACAGTAAACCACACCAGTATCTTTGCCAAGAAAATCCAAATGGGATCATGAAGAGTCAGACACAACTGAAAAGATTCAATTACTATTTAATTAATTTTAATTTAATATTTAATTATTATTTATATAAACTTGATATTACAAGTTTCCTTAAAGACTCTATTTAAACCCCATGTTCTACATGAAGTCTTTCCTAATCCCCTCTATTGCTAGTACACTCTCAAAACTCTCATGTATTCCTTTTAAATATATTATGTGTGCATGTTCACACATATGTAGGATATATACACACATATTTATATATCCAATGGGAGACATGTATGTGAACACACACACACATATATACACACAACACACATACACACACACACTCACCTCAATTAGACGTCAATATAAACTCTTGGAGGGCAGGAATTATTTCACTTTTGTCTTTGCATTTGCAGCAGTTAGCACTGTGCCTGGCAGTTTGTAAATGCTTTTTGAATGATTGAGTCTATAGAAGAAAAAATATTAATATTGATCTCTATGATTTTGGAACAAGTCTGTCCTCTATTAATTTATTAAATTATTAATTAAATTTCATTTATTTAAATGTATTAATTTGAGCTAACCAATTCATTTAATTTTAATTAATCAAAACTAAATTTGTACATTTGCCATTTATTTACTATCTGCACCATTTCTAGCTTAGAGACAGACAGAAGTCCAAACTGATATAGTTCCTCTGTGTCCTCCAACATATCCCCCTCACCAAGACCATTTGAGGTAACATTTCTGTGAATCTTGAATAAGGAAAAAATCATAATGTGTTCAAATGCAGTTTAGGGTTTTCATTCCAGAACAGAATAGTCACTACTCATTTCTTTTCTGCACTCTGGCTCAACTATCTCCTAGAGGAAAGAAATGGATCTCCTCCCTTTGATAAAAACCTTTATCTTTTCTCAATGGAAACATTTTTTCAGGCAATAAACAAAAAGGAAATTGCCCTCAGATGGGTCAGTAGCCCAAAGAAGAGGTTCCCTTTATTCTCTTCCATTTTTATCTTAGCTCCTAATTTGTTTCTCTACGAAAATCCTGTAGCTTTCTCACCCTGGAAGGTCCTTCTGCCACTAAGGCCCCTTCCTCTCATTGGCCAGTTCCTTCCACAAGCTTCGTTTTCCCCCCACTTAATAGTATTTTATTTTTTCCAATTACATGTAAAGATAGTTTTCAACATCCACTTTTATAAGATTTTGAGTTCCAATTTTTTTTCTCCCTCCCCCCTCCCCAAGATGGCAAGGAATCTGATATAGGCTGTACATGGACAGTCATAGTAAACATATTTCCACATTAGCCATGTCCACAAGTTTCATTTTAAAGCAGCCATGTGCATTGCTTCATCATTCTCTGGGCTCCACTCCTGACTTCTTTCTCTACTGTGCTCCCTCAGAGGTACCTTCTCCCCCTCCCAACTGCTTTTTAGTTTTCTTTTCTTTGTCCTTTTTTTTAATCTTTTTTTTTTGTCTTCCCCCATTAGAATGCAAGCTCCTTGAGAGCAGAGACTGTCTTTCTTTTGGCCTTTCTTTGTACCCCTTTTGCTTAACACAGTTCCTGGCACCTAGTAACTTGACTTGTTTTGTTCCAAGTTATGATTATGGCCTTGAATCCATTTTCCTAAGAAAGTCTTTCTTCCCCAGCCTAACCCACCTTCAAACACAGAAACCTTTGAACAGTCTGGAAAGGAATTTTTGACCCTAAAAATATTATGTCGATATTTCTAGAGAAATTAAAAAGAAAGTTTTTTATGTGTCTCTATAATTCTCAGCTCTTCTCTGGAGCCGAACTTGGTCATTATAATTATATAACATTCAGTTTAGGGCTTTTGTTCCTTACATTTATGTGGTTGTAGTGAAGGTGTAGGTTGTTTTGCTGGTTCTGCTCATTCCACTCTGCATCAGTTCATATAAGTTTTCTCATGCTTCAATGAATTCTCCACATTAGTTATTTGAGGTTCACGCTATCTAAACCTATCACCCACTCCGGATCCTGGTGTCAATTATTTATCAACCTCAAGGCATTCTCTTTCCTTCTTCAAAGAGTTCAGTGTCTGGTTCATAGTTGTTCTCTTCTTCCTAACTCCATTTCACAAGTGAGAAGACTAAGGCAGACAGAGAGTAAACGACTTGCCCAGAGTCTCACAGTTAATAAGTGTCTGAGGCAGGATTCAAACCTCATTCTTCCCCACCCCAAATCCAGCACTACCTTGCTCTGCAAAGCCTGTGCTAGTGGGGAACAAGTTATGGCAGCTTTATAAGCTTGGAGTACAGTACTGTCCTGCTGTCAGATTCTATTTCTTGAGTCCAAGGACCAGCTTAGATAAGTCCAGAGAGGATCATCACTAGTAGAAGGGATAAGAGGTATTGAACTTTTTGGCCATGGTTAACTCATGAAATAAAGAAAAGGCTTCTCTCAGTCTCACTTTCCTCATCTGCAAAATGGGGATAAGAGTAACGCCGACATCACAGCAAGAATCAAAGGACATAATATATGCACGGCACTTTGCAAACCTTGTGCTATGTAAATTCAGGTTATTACTGTTTAAGAACTGAGGTCCACCTCCATGCTATGATGAAGCATGGGACTTGAGTTGAGGTTTACCTTCATAGTAGGGAATCCTTCTTCTATTTTGATTCTGTATGGATCATCGTCCATGCTGCTATCCAGCACATCTCCCTGGTTTATGCCTTGCTTGATGTATCTAGAACAAAATTTTCTCTACATCTTTCTTGGAACTTCTTCAAGGGAAATACTTTCTTTAAAGAGAGTTCCTAAAGCTGTCCTTTGCTCAAAGATCTGTCTATGTGAGTTTTTAAACAATAAACTTGGTGGAATCATATTCTCCATGAATGTGGGACTGGGAAAATGTGGCCTTCTACAGGGAATCGTTTATGAAAGTCTGCCTCTTCCCTTCTCATGTTTTCATCAAGGATGCCTTTGCTAGAGGATCATTCTCTTAAAGAGTTCATAGAGTTGAGAAAGGAGTTTTTTGGGTTAGGTCGATGGCTGCAAGTGCTTTCTTTGCAAGTGCCACCTTTGGGGGTGGATGGGTAATATTATCTGCATCTCCTTTCTTTTTTTAAGAAAGATGGAGAGGATCCCCAACCCTGAGGGCCTTTACTTCCTGCATTGATTTCTTCAGGATGGATCCGATCTAGTTCAATTGCCTTTCCTGATTTCCTTCTTTCAGATTGCTTCTTCACACCAGGGACCAAGGTGATACAATCCACATGCGGCAGAGGCAACCATTCCTAATGATGAGAGCAGATCATTAGAGGAAGGCAGGCAAATCTGTTCAAGCAATCGAATCAGCCTGATCTCTAAATACCCTTGGGATGACCTGGCTTAGCTGGTTCTCATGCCAAGCCTTCTGAAGGCTCATTTTCCCCTCCATTGCTTTTCACTGTTTTGAGAGGCAGTATTGTGTGTTATCTTCCTTCTTTACAACGTTTTTCAGGTGAGTTTGTACCCTATAATGGTGTCGCTCAGGACAATATGTTCATCTGGAGAGCAAATGGTTGCTTGCTAAGTCTGATTCTGGGCTTTTTTGACCTCCTCATTATGGTGACTTTTTCTGTTCTAAAAAAAATGGTAATTCCTTATCTCCTTTTTTTGCAGAGTCCAGGGAAGAGAACAAGAATTTATTAAGAGTCTCCTAGGGACTGGGGCCTGTGCTAAGCACTTTACAAGATCCTTACAACAACCCTGGGAGGTAGGTACTATTATGGTCCTCATTTTACAGTTGAGGAGACTGAGGCAAACAGAGGTTAAGTGACTTGTCCAGAATCACACAGCTAATAAGTACCTGAGGCAGTATTTGAATTCAAGTCTTCTTGACTCCAGGCCCAGTGCACCAATATGGATATAAAATTTTACATACACTATCAAATTCAGTTGACATATTGATTCATTTTGCTGAACTGTTTTTTTTCTCCTTTTTTAAAAATTATTTATTACAAGGAATGGATCCCTGTATGCGAAAGGAAAGAAGGACATATTTAGAAATGAAAATGATATAAATTTTTTATAATAATAACAACAAAGAAATGATAATAATTATTACTGATTTTCCAGATCCCATAGTTTATTTAAAAAGTTTCAATTGGAGAGAAGAGATGAGAAACCTCAACCTTTTTGTCACCTCCTTCATTCCTTTCTTATTGGTGTGGAAAACTCCATGTACTATCAGATTGGAGTGGTGTATTTGCTAGTTTTGTTGCAAGTGATGGCTTTCAGGATAGGAGAGAGGGAAGGATGTAGGTCCAAGCAAAGATGATGTAAAAATAAAAGGTACCCTTTGTCAGTATCAGGGTAGTTGGAGGAAAAAATTTATATGTATGTATATGTAGATAGATAGATAGAGGGCACAGGGTGAGTTGAAGATTAAGGGGTCATATCTGAAGAATAAAATGAAGGGATGAGAGAGGATTATATTTGGAGAAGAAGAAAGGGAGAGGTAGAATGGGGTAAATTATCTCACAAAAAAAACCAACAGAAAAGTCTCTTACAGTGGAAGGGGAAACAGGGGAAGGTGAGAGGGAATGAGTGAATCTTATTCTCATAGGATTTGGCTTAAGGAGGGAATAACATACACATTCAATTGGGTATGGAAATCTGTCTTACCCTATAGGTAAATAGGGGGGAAAGGGGACAAGAGAGCAGGGGGATGATAGAGAGGAGGGCAGATTGGGAAAGGGGTTAATCAGAAGTAAATACTTCTGAGGAGAGACAGGGTCAAAAGAAAGAATAGAATAAATGGGAGGGCAGGATAGGATTAAGGGAAATAGAGTTAGTTTTTCACAACATGTCTACTGTGGACGTGTTTTGCATAACTGCACATGTACAACCTATATTGAGTTGCTTGCCTTTTCAATGAGGGTGGGTGGGGAGGGAGAAGAGAGAAAATTTGAAACCTAAAGTTTTAAAAACATATGTTTAAAAAAAATGTTTTCACATGCTACTGGGAAATAAATATAGGAAATGGGGTACAGAAGTCTATCCTGCCCTACAGGAAAATAGAAGGGGAAGGGGATAAGAGAAGGGGAGAGAGATAGAAGAGAGGACAGAGTAGGGGAAGGGATATTCAGCATGCATGACATCTTGGGGTGGGGGGGGGGGAGATGGGGTGAAAATTTGGAACTCAAAAACTTGTGGAAGGGAATATTGAAAACTAAAAATAAGTAAATTTATATTAAAAAAAATAAAAATTAAAATTAAAACAATAGGTTGGGTTGGAGCTGGACTAACTGCAGATATTCTCTGATATCAACCCATCTTTGTCCCTTCTTCTGATTTCATATTGATACTGACCTTTACTCTACCCAGTTAATGATTTGACTGCATACAACTAGCTGATTTGCAGGGGGAATCTCCCTCAGTAACTAGTCCATTAGATCACTGATTCAGAGTGGTGCTTGGTGGCCCGGTGGCTAAAGCACTGGACCTGGAGTCAGGGAGACATGAGTTCAAATACAGCTTCAGATACGTACTAGCTGCGTGACCTTGGGCTAGTCACTTGACCCATCTGCCTTAGTTTCCTCAACTGTAAAATAGAGACCATAACACATCTTTCTCTCTCCCAGGATTGTTGTGAGCATCGAGTGAGATAACATATTGGTAAAGCATTGATCAACTGGTCCCATACTCTCATTTATAGAGGAGGAAACTCAGGGCTCAGAGAGTGGAAGGTATTTGCCCATGGTCACTCAGGCAGCAAATAGCAGAGCCAGGATTTAAACCCAGGCTCTTTGACTCTACTACACCATTCTGCTTTTCACAGTTGCTTCCTCTTGTTTAAATATAGCCAATTTCATTTTCTTGTGTGTGTGATGTCATTCAATGCTCACTATGAGTGCCTAGCACCTTCCCACTCTCTCATATGCAGGAAGTTTGGGGCTTCTTTCATTTCTAATCCTGAACTGTATTTTCCAAGCTATTTTTTTCTTATTACTCCTATGTACCCACCTTCCCCATAGAGATCATTCACTGTCAAGGACTACATCGACTTTTACAGATAAGGAAACTGAGATGAAATGACTTGCGTAGCATTACATGGGTAGTATGAGCTAGAAGCGATATTTGAATCCAGGACTTCTGACCCCAGGATTAGCTCCAGTCTCACAGAACCACATCCCCTCTAGAGATCCTAGGTTTCCTAGGAAATGATGCTTCTTATTGCTTTGGGGCACAGGATGAAATAAATTTCCCAATCTCGTCTTTACCAGTAAAAGAAGGAAAGTAATTACATCCTTTTTATTTCCCAGGGGTGACAAGATGAATTAAAGAGAAGAATGTACAGGAAAGTGTTTCAGAAAAAAAGTTTATACTTCCTACTTTTCTTTGCTGAGGTAGCGGACTATGGGTGTCGATATTGCATATACCAAACAATTGGTACGTTGATTTGGTTTAGCTGAATTGATTTTTTCCTTTGTTTATACTTTGTTACAAGGTTTGGCTTGTTGGATTGAGGATAGGGGCATATCTGGAAATGAAGATGATTTAAAAACAAAATATTGTATGTCTCCAAAAGTCTCAGTGCCTGGGTAAAGCTATTTAAGCTTATAAAAACATTTTAAAATAACAATAACAAAGAAATGATGATGACCACTATCCGTTACCCATTTTTCAGGTTCCATTGTTTAAACTGAGTTGAGAAAATGTGCCTTTCTCCTTCCTTTCTGTGCGGAAGAAATCAACCATCCCTCTGGAAAATTGGTTAGTTGTGCAGAACTGGTCTAGGTCATCAGAGCTTAAAACTGCACTGAGTGCTGGGAGATTATAGGTCGATAAAGATAAGTGGGGGATAGGTGGGGTGTCTGGGGGCTTGTGTTATACAAGTTTATTATTAGTTAAACAGAAGAGGAGCTCAGATGGAAAGGACTTCAGGGGTCCAAAAAGATTCCCCTCCACAACCTGCCTCCTGACAAGTGGTCATCCAGTTGTTACTTGAAGACCTCCAGGGTGGGGAAGCCCATCACTTTCCTGATCAACCCATTCCATTTTTCCATCTTTCTTTCTAAACAGCCTAATTTGGCCTCTTTGCAACTTCTAACCATTGCCTTGTGGGGGGAGGGGGGAGGGTCCTGGGACAAGCAGAAAAAGTTACTGGTTCTTCTGGGTAATGACCTTGAAAACACTGGCACGCAGTTCTCCTGTCCTATTTAACTCCTTCCCTTCTCCAGAGTAAACAGGCTCCAGTCTCTCAACAAATAGATCCTCAGGGCCTTCCTCTCCATCCTGGTTGCCCACTCCCGAGAATGTTTCCAATTTGTCAATCTATTTGCTTAAATAAAGTGTCCAACTTTATGACTGAGCATTACAAAAGGAGGTTTCATATGAAATTATTAGGGACGTCACAGACCTCTCCTTCCCTATGCAATCATTCTGCTCTGTGTCCGAGATTCCTTACTTTTCTCGACAGCTCTAGAAGAATAGGATATGCACTTTTGTTTTGTTTTTTTCCTCCCATGATTGATTGGGGGAGGGGGTTTCCCCACTCCTTCATTAAGGTCCTGAGGTCTGGAATCGACTGGGGTGGGAATGCGGCAACAGGTGAATGGGTGCAGGGGGCGTGGTCTGTCTGGGGAGGAGGGCAGGCCTGGCGGTTCGGGGATCGCTGAGTCAGCAGAGGGAAAAGTGAGAGCTGGGGCAGGGCGGGCCCCAAGTCCTCACTTGCTCTGAAGCAGCTCCGGGAATGTTAATCAGAACCACGTTGTCCCTGCCCCCACCCCGGCCTTGTTTTGGGTGGCTTCTCGCCTGTGTTTTCTCCTCTTTTTGCATCTCGGGGCAGGGCCCGGGAGATTCCTGGAAGGTTGTTTTTCTGTTTGTTTGTTTTTGGTGGAGAGGGCGAAAATCATTCCAAAGGCACGCCCCTGGGGTGCCGGCAGGGCGGAGAGAGGAACCTGGCACAGAGGAAGGAAGACTTCCTGAGAGTCACCCTGGCACTAGGGACAGGTCTAGGCACGGCCCGATCACTCCACAGGTCCGACTCCTGCTGGAGAGAGCCAAGGGAGGGGAGACGGGATTGGAGCCTTTTGAGCAGGCTTTGTGCTCTGGGGTGAATGGGGTCAGGCTCAGGAGAGGGACCCCCGATGAGCCCTGCAGTGTTAGCCTCAACATCTGCTCTCCACCCCATCCTGTGTGCTCTTAAGCAAGTCATAACCTCTATAGGCCTCAGTTTCCTCATCCATAAAATGAAAGGGTTGGGCCCCACGGCCCCTTCCCCCTCTAAATCTGAGGTACAGAATGGAGGAAGAGGCTTCTGCGATAAACAATTTGTCACACCGGAGCCTTGTAGGTGCATGGCAGTGACTGCCCAAGTTACCGAGAACTGGCCGGCTGCTGTCACTTGGGGAGCAGGATAGGGGCTGGCGGGGAGATCGAGAGGGTGAAGTGAATGTGGCTATGATTGGGTGTAATGTCATCGCGCATTAGAATTCCAAGACCAAAGATCTTCTCGGGTCGGGTTTGCCTGTGTGTGTTTCTGGATGTGTGAGGACATGGGCTTTGTCGATGTGTCAGTATGTTTGGGGGGGGGCACGACAGCCTGGCGATTGGCTGACCCCACGGGGGAGGAGCGGGCTGGTTCCGGGGGCTCCTCCCATAAGCCAGTGAAGTCCTCCTTTCCATCCATCCCTGGCGCAGGACCATCTCTGGGGGTTGGGGTGGAGGGGAATACCAGGCCAGGAACCGGGAGTCAGTCTGTCCTTTCACCCTGCCTGGCCTTCTCCCATCCCCCTGGAGCCACGTGGTGGGATGGGAGGGGTGTCATAAAGGCCCACACTCAGCAGACTCCTTCAATTACACCTAACAGCCGGGGGCCCCTCCAGGTTCCGTCCTCTCCGCAGCCCCATCCCTGGTCCCTGTCCTCCCTCCCCGCCCCCAGCCCGGGCCGGGAAAGAGAGAGAGGCTCGTCGTTGTTTTCCACTGAGAGCCAGAGAAAGGCCGATGGGGCCAGCGCCTGTAATCCCCAGGGCTCGGCACATCTGTCTCCGCCACGTGACGGGGCCCCGGAGCGGCCAGGAGGATGACCTCATTGCCACCGGCCCACCCCACCCCCACTTCTGCTCCGCGCGGGCAGAAGTGTGGTCCAGAAGGGAAAGGGGAATGGGGGAGGATACCAAGCATTTATTAAACGCTAACTATGTGCCCGGAACTGTGCTGAGCATGGAGAGGGGTGGGTGGATTTCTTGGAAAATCCCAAATGGTTGAATTTCGAAGTGGGGCCGCCGGGAATCACTCCAGAAATTTCCTGGCTCCCTTCGGGAACCACAATATTCACCCTCTCCCATTCTGGGTCCCACATTTCTCCAGAAACCCACCCCCTTATTTCGTGGGGTAGAAAACAAGGGACACCGGGAAGTTAAACGACTTAGCCATGGTGACACAGGGAACTAGCCACTGCTGAGCTGTTATTTGGAAAAAAGTCCAATGACCACCCCCCATCCAGAGATCCTTTTCAGCTCCGGTGGCTGCCCCCCCTCCTCATTCCCCCTCCTCCCTAGCTCAAAGGGTGATCTCTTTCCTCAAATTTGCTCCAGTTACACCCTACACCGTATATTATGCCCATCTGAGTTCATGTCATATCCCCTTTTCCCTGGGGCCAGGAACTGTTTGATTTTTTTTTAATGTTTGTAACCCCAGCATGGAGCAAAGGAAGCTCTTAATTTTTCATTTGTTTAATTGAAAAGAAACTCCATCTTTCCTATTAGGGGCTGACAGCACAATGCCAGTTCCCCTTTATAATCTCCTTCCTTGCCCACCCCAACCCCCATTCTTTATACCATATCCCAGCCTGAAGTTCCCTCTTCTGTGCCTAGCCAAACTGAATTCATTGTGGAAGGGCCAGCTCAAGCCCTAACCCCTCCAAGAAGCCAATCCATACTGATCTTCCTCTTCTTTGGCCTCTGCTACCAGGGTAACTCTGGACCTCAGTTTTCTCACCCATAAAATGAGAGGCTTGGACACCCTCTGAGATTTCCTTCCAGCTCCAGATGTGTGAATCTGCGATCCTCAAGGCACCTGTATAATCCCAGTTCCTTTAGCTGGAAGATGCTTAGAAATAAGGCCCCTTGCCCTTGACAAATAAAGAAACTGAGGCCCAGAGTGACTGATCCAAGGTTATCAGGGTAATAGCAAAGCTGGAACTCCTCCTGCCACACTTCTATGTGTCTGTTCAACCACAGGCCTGATACCACATACAGCGAGCCATCTCGTACTGGTCTCCAAAATGTTTCACACACCGCCCCCCCCAACTGGACAGCGACCTTGAGGTCAAGATCTGAAGCCTGCATCTTCTCATCTCCTTCACAGTGTAGCTGAATAAAGTGGCCCCCAATAAAATGAATTGACCTCATGGATTTTGACTGTGTTTCTAAATCTTTAGCCCTCCCCCTCCTGCAAATCCAGCCAGAGACCTCATTTTATCCCCGTAGTTGGGGGAAGGACTGGACCCAGAGCCATGGGTTTCCCCTCACACAGCCACTAAGTGGATCCATCCCCTCCCTTCCCAGTCTCCTTCCTCCTGCGTAGCTGACTGATTCTGCTACCCACTCCTCCACCTCATGCCTTGCTCAGAAACCAAGGTGTTAGCCACTGCTGCCACAGAAGGGCACATATGTGGCCCCATCTCTCCCCCTCCCTTCCATCTCTTCTCTAGCTCCCAAGATCATCTATCAGCAGAGGGACTGAGGAAGAGGTCAACACTTAAGAAAAAAATGTGACTCTGCTGTTTTAATTGTAAAAGTTCTTTTGAGAAAAAAAAAACAAACAAAAGCGAGAGGGGCTGTCTGAGGCCTACAGGGGCACCCCAAGCTGTGGCCCACATCTGCCTGTGTGGCCACTGTCAGGTGGCACCCCTCCCCCCTCTCTACCCCCCAAAACCAACAGGGTGTGTGGGCAGCTCCCACTGGGATGTAAACAACGACCAGAGCCATCTCTGCCGAGCCTCAAGGAGGCCAGGCTGGCATCACAGTGCGTGCAAGAAGAGGGGACGGGAGCCAGCAGGGCTCCAAGGGGAGATGAGCTCCCCTGCCCTTCCCTTCTGTCCCACAGATTCTCTGCCATTCACCAGCAGGCAGAGCTGGCAGCTCCTCTCCATGCTTGAGGTTTAAGGGGATCAAAAGGCACTCAAGGGGTCTTTTAAGGCCTTGTGGAATCTACGCTATCTGGGCCCTGATCTCATAGGTTATATGCTGGTGGGCACAAATATCAGGGAAGTTCAGTTCCAGAGTAAGAGCCAGGGTTATCTATGGGTTTGGAGCATGGGTTCAGGATGCAGAAGACTGCCAAGCATGTCGATCCGGGCTAGTGCCCAGGCAGCTCCCACAGGGGGCCTCATAACTTTGGGGGGGTGGGAGGTAAGAAGGATGGGGTCAAACCAGGGAAAGACCTCACCTGGGCCTTAGGGGCCCCTGGTAAAACCCCACCAAGGGACCTGGTGTTAGGAGGGATTGCAGTGTCCCCTGACCCACTGGCCAGCAGGAACAGGACTACAAAAAGGTAGAGTTAGAGACTGGGCAGCTATCTCGGCCCCCAGTCTTCATCCCTCCTCTAGGCTTTGGCTAGATTCCCTATCACAAAGGGAAGCCAACAGCCAGAATCTGTGCCATGAGTAGACAGTGGCTGTGGTTCAGGGGGAAGACAGGTGAAGAAGCCCTAAGGTTTTCAGCAGAAAGAAGGGGATGCTTGGATTTGCCCCATAACCCTATCCAGGGATGTCTAGGAATGACCCTGCTTCACAGGGTCCTGATATTTTATTTAGGTAAGGATTTAGGGCTGGGGAACAGGCTCTCCTGGGTTCTCTCTCTAGGCCACCACGGCCTTTGGTCTCCAAAGGCTCCCTCTCCCCTATCTGCCTCTGCTCCCACTTCCCATGATGAGGAAGCCGGGTCACTCAAAGCTAGAAACCAGATCCCTCTCGCCCTACTCTGGTCCCTTTTTCAAAGCAGGGAGACACGGGCCCTGCTCTAGCTGGGGATCAAGGCAGTCACTGTGAGAGCCTCCCAGAAGGGGACTGATTTCCTCTAAACCCACCCCATGAAGTCAGACCACCCTCGGGCAGACATACACCTACAAAGGAGAGGGGGAGAGGGACTGGTTAACCGTACAAAAGGAACAGGGGAAAGTGGGACTCGGCCATCCTTCTGAGGAAGCCCTGGAGGCTCTCTCTCTACCTGAGCAGACATCTGTGCCGCTGAGGCCTGCACTAGGGGAGGGGAAGGCTGGAGCAGAGGCTCAGCCGGAGAGGCAAAGGAGACAGGGTTAGAGGCTGTCATACATGCGCAAGGTCTGCTCCAGCTGCTGGCTGACCCGCTGGTAAAAGAGAATCTGCTGCCGCAGGTAGGACTGCATCATGTGCTTGAAGTCCAGTACCCGACGCTCGTGGAAGTGGTTCATCTCGGCCTGCAGGGCGAAGCCCACCACACGGCAGCGCTTGCGGATCCCGTCGGCCTCGTCCTGGTCCATCTTGCCCTCGTCGCTCATGCGCTGGCTCTCTTTGACCTTGGCGAAGGCACCTGGACCCCACGAGAGTGCAGAGGGGAGGAGAAACTTTGAATCTGGCCTGCGTGCATGTCAGCTCTCATCTTCCCAAACAGACTGAGGCCTCCGGGAGGACAGGCCCCAGGCCTTCTCCTCTGGCTAGTCCAAGGCACAGCAGAACACTGGGAGCCAGCACTCACACACCTGGCTGGGCTCAGCATGGTGACACCAATAAATCACGTCATAGAATTACAGACTTCGAGCTGGGAGGGACCTTAGAGGTCATTTATCTCCCAGTGCCCTCCTCATTCTACACACTTGCCATCTGTACAATGCACAGAACTAAGGATTTCCTAACCTACCGCCCTGCGTGGCTTCCTGTTGCTTCATGCATGCATGACTGACCTTTCCAACAACACCAACTCTCTGAGGACAGGGAGGGGTCTTCAATTTGGCTCCTTCAAATCTATAAGCTAGCGCAGGGCCAGTAATGTTATAAGTTGTCAACAAATATTTGCTGATTTATCAAAAACTCTTACTTTCTGGGGACAGTGAGATGTGGTAGATGGGCCCTGGGCTGGAAGTCAGGAGGCCCCATGCTAGCTTTTCCACTAACTCACCGTGTGACACTGGACAAGTCCTCTGAGCCTCAGTTTCAAAATCTAGCCAATGGGAGAATAACCACAGCCTATCACCATGAAAATGAAGTGGCATTGTCTTATGACTTCGTGTCAATTGAATGAGTTGTGGCCTTTCTTCACGTGTAGTAGAAAGGGAAGAGTGTAGGCTTTGAGGTCAGAGCACTTGGGCTTAAAGTCTAGATCTTCTGTCTCTGTGTGACAATAGTCAAGTTACTTAATCTCTTTGGGTCTCAGATTTCTTACTTATAAAATAAGAGGTTCAGACTAGATGACCTCTAAAAGTCCTTTCCAGTTCAAAATCTACAATATTATAAAGAGGATTCTCTAGTTGTGTTTATGTGTGTGTGTGGGTGTGAGAGAGAGAGAGACAGAGAGAGAGAGAGAGAGAGAGAGAAGAGAGAGAGAGACAGAGACAGAGAGAAATGCAATGTGATATATTCTCATCCAAAGAAATAGGATGGGAGTAGCAGAATAAGCCTTGCATCTACAGTCAGAAGAGACCTGAATTTTAATTCTGTCTCAAGACACTACTAATTGTATGACCATGGGTGAGTCACTTTGGGGCCTCAGTTTCTTTATCTGTAAAATAGTCTAATAATACCTCTGTAACCTCCCTATCTCTTAGGACTGACTATTCAATAGTTCTAGGCATTGGGGCTACAAAAACAGCCTGCCCTCAAGGACTCCACTTCTATGTAAATATATGATATTGTTACTTCTTTAGAGTCTAGGGTCAAACTAGGTAAAGATTAGGGAGTCAGGCATGGTGAAATTATTAAGGTAACAGCCTATTTTCAAGGACTGCAGAACTATGTACAGTAGATCATTCTTATCTATTCACTACTAAGTCCCCTAAGGATTTCTACTAGGTGACAGGTGGCTGAGGTAGTTCTGGTTTTTCTGCGTTCTTGAAAGTGATCAAACTTCATTTCCTTGAGTCTATTGTCAAATTAGCCATTAGCCCTAACTCAGATCAGCCATTTCCCTCCCCCCTGGGAGAGCCTGAATGACTGAAGCTTGGCTTATGAAAATACAAACAAAAACAGTCATGCCAACGTAGGCTTGCTTTTTCAGAAATGATGAGGTGGAGAGATGGGCTGTGGAGGGAAGACCCACTCCATTGATTCGATGGGAAGGCTTCTATGCCCTCATCCCCTCAGATCCTGCTGAGAGTGGGATCTGCCCTTCCCATCTATGCCCATCTAGGACCCAAACAGCATTTTCTGAGCCAAATCGTTCTTAGGAATGTTTTAGCTGTTGATTTATTTTCCTTCTGCTCAGACTTTGTATTTGGAAGCTTTTGAAGAGCCAAAGCATACATTGTGAAATAGTCCCAGAGTCTCAAGAGCTGGAAGGGAAACTTCAGAGACCTCACTCTAGTCCAACTCAAACTTGAGAGAGATTCCCTCCGCAATATTCCTAGTGAGTGGCTCGCAGTCCCAACTCTCTCTGCCTGGAGACTTCCAGTCAAAGAGAACCCACTCACTTGTGAAGAGTTCTAAGGAAGTTTTTCCTTCCAGACAGCCAAGTCTGCCCCGCCAGGGCCAAGCAGAGTGAGTCTAATCCTCTGCCCATGTGGCAGCCCTACAAATATTCACAGGCAACCATCATGTTCCCCTTGCCTAGCCCCAGGCACAGCCAGGTGTGATGGATTTGGAGCTGGCCTCAAAGTTAGGGAGGAGCTGGATTCAAACCCAGCCCCTGATGCTACTGATGGCATGACCCTGGACAGCTCATTTAACCTCTTAGTGCCCAGACAAGTCTCTAAGACTGTAAGAAGCAGAGAAGTCACCAATCGGCTTTGGTAAAGAAAGAGGCAATCACAGGTCTGGTTCAAAATGAAAAATCTCTCCCCAGTGAGGTACCATCTTCTCTTGTCTATTTTCCTATCTGCCCTAGAATATATATCTATATATCTATATCTATATCTATATCTATATATACTTATATATACTTAGAACATTAGTCTGCTTTTAGCATAATTATAAATGGGGTCACAAAGAGTCAGACTCAACCGAAAAAGACTGAAAAATTAATATATTATATGTTATTATATTAATATATTGTAATGTTATTGTATTAATATATTATTATAACATATTATGTTATTATTATATATTATTCCAAAAGAGGAAGGTGCTGGGGAGGAATCATGGGATGTTGGAAGGAGCAATGGCATTTGAGAAGAACTGGATTCCTGTTCCAGCTCTCCTCCTTACCAGCTATGTAACCAAGGGCCAGTAACTTTACCTTTCTAGGTCTCAGTTTCTTCATCCGTACAATGAGGCAACTGGCCTGTGTGATAACAGTAATGATAATAAAATAATATTCGCACATTACTCTGGTGTTTGTGAAGTACTTTCCATCCTTTGTCTTATATTACCCTCATAACAATCCCGTGAGGTGGGTAACACCAGTGGTTATTCTCATCTTTCTGATTGGGAAGCTAAGGCTCAGAGGTGTTAAATGAGGTGGTCACGGTCACACAATCAGTAGTGAAAATGATCTGTGTGAAGGTAATGCAGATGTTTAGGCAGAGAAAAGACAGATGGGGGCGGTGGGGTGGAGCAATGTATTTTCAAGCATTTGAGGGCTTGACATTTGGAAAAAAGATTAGATTTGTTCTGTCTAGCCTCAGATACCAGGAAGAGGATCAATGGAGAGAAGTTACAAAGAGAGAGATTTTGGTTCAATAAAAGGACAAATTTCCTAAGAGAGCTGCCCAAAAGTGCAACAGGCTGTCTCTGGAAGCAATGAGCTCCCCATTCCTGGAGGTCTTCAAGAAGAAGCTAGATTACTACATTGACCAGGGCACGGTCAAGGTGATTCACACATCATGAAGGAGCCAGACTTGACCAACTCTTTGTTCCCTTCCATCTCTGGGGTTCTAGGATTCCACAAATGTGAAGAAACACTTCCTAAGAAATAGCTTTCCAAAAGTGAAACATGCTGCTTCACAAGGAAGCCAGCTCACCATTTCTGGAGGTCTTCACGTGAAGGCTGGACAGCCTTACTGTGAATGTAGAGATGGATGGTTTGGCTAAGGAGGGGCTACTTAGAACCCAGGGGTCCCCTTCTGCTCTAGTATATGATGACCTGTTGAGTACCTATCATGTGTACAGCAGGAAGGGGAGGCAAAAAAGTCTCTGCCTTTAGATAATCTAGCTGGAGAGAGACAAAGCTTGAACAAGTTAGGGTTAGAGCCAGGATTTGGATGAGGGTTAGAACACAACACTGTGGGCCCAAAGTGCCAATGTGTGGAGACAGGGAGCAGGAGCTCAGTGAGGCTTGGTTAGAGTGGTCAAGGAAAGCTTCCTGGAGGTGGCGGGGCTTGAGCTGGGGCTTTTGTAAATTCAATTCAATAAACAATTATTAAGTTCCATTATGGGCAAGGTATTGAGGGCACAAAAATGAAATCGGACCCTGTTCCTGCCTTTAAAGAACTTCCAATGGCGAAGGGAGCTGTCAGAGGGCTCTAACAGGATGTCCCCCATTGCTGAAATCTCCTTCCTCGTTTCTGGTTCAGTTTAATGCTCAAGGACTGCCCCCTTCTCTTACTCCCCAAGTTGTTAAAGTAAGCTCCTTGAGGGCAGAAACTGTCTCACTTCAGCATTTGTGTCTCAAGCACTTAGCACAATGCCTGACACACAGTAGGTGCTTAATAAATGTTTATTGATTGAATATATGCATGGACTAGTGGGTGCACATAAAGGAATCATGGGAAATGAGGCTAGAGGGGTAGGTGGGGCCTGTTGGTAGATGGTTTTGAATGGCAGGATGAAAAGTGCAGACTCAGTATAGGGCCAGTGAGTTGATGCCAAACTTAATAGCCCAGTGTAAAACAGGATAAGGAAATGAGAGGCAGTTTCTATGGGTGGCCTTGGTTCTTATACCCAAAGGGCTGAAAACCCTGCTGGCACCTTCTCGTTTCTGCAACCACCCTGGAGTTCTGAATTTCACCAAATCTGGCCTCTGATTCCATTCAGTGAACACCTGGGAGGCAGCGGGTCTGGTAGGAAGAGCGTCTAGTCCCTGGGAGTCAGCAGCCACTTACTGGCTGTATGACCCTGAGCAGGGGAATCGGTATCTCTCAGTCTCAGTTTCCTCTTCTATAAAATGGGGATAACCATACTTGCGCAATCTGCCTCACACGGTTCCGTGAGACTACTTTATGAAGTGAAAAATGCCAGAGTTGTTCATGCCGCCATGTTGCCCTTCCCATCATGCCCTACCCAACTTAACACTTTCCTCCTCTCCTGTGTCCTAGCCAGGACTAGAACCCACTCATCTTGCTAGTTGAGGCAGCCATGGAAAGGTAAACCCAAAAGCCAGCCTCTACTTGGCCCAGGACTTTTCCTGGGACCCTTGTATCCTGACCGTTTCAAAGGATTGAG